AGGTGTCAGAAAGTCAAATATGTGCTCAAAGTGTTTTGAGCAGTAATGAACGCCATACATAAATGCTACGAATGTATTAAAAATAGAGTGAAAGATTAATGCTCCTGCCTTTATGGGTGGACAGGGGACGACAATTATTTTCTCTTTTGTTTTAGTTGACCTTTCGACATGCAGAGCAATCAAAAAAACCCTAAGCTAAATATAATAGATTTTCCGTATCATTAGAGTTAGCGCCAGAAGGAAGTAATCTTAGCTTACCATGAGTTGGATTGCACTTATCGTCAATGTTCTGATTCCATACATAGTAAAATTTCTTTGTGCAGGTAAGATAAGATACGCATTGTAGATGAATGGTAGATTTGGGAAGAGAGAATGCAAGAGAAGAAAGCGTAACTGAGATATATATCGGTACGCTGGACTCGAATGACAAATGCTTTGATTTGCATAAATAGAAAATTATCAAATGCTGCATCTGAATGGTAGACGAAAGATATGGCCTTTAGAGAGAGCGAAAAGGAGTGCTTACACGCAGTATATTCATTTGCCTACAGGTATTTTGTGTGCAATCTGTTTTCATCGAAGACATCTAATTTTAGTGTTTTGTTTGTTCAACAGCTCAAAGTAAACGAAACTCGGTAGCTGAATTAGTTCGCGAGCTCTATTTGACGGAAATTGAAATATATATAAAAGCAGAAATGTAATGGTCAAGAGGCCAACTCCAATGTAGCTTTGTTGGTTTATTAGCTCGACGTTTCGACCGTCTCGGTCTTCCTCAGGAGCATACTAATTACATGAGCAATATTCAAATTTAAAATTCGTGTCAACAGTAAATATGTCATGACGTAATAATATAAAAATAGAATAGATAACGGCGAAACGTGTTATGGTGACTAAAATAGATAAGTTAAAGTAGTTATAATTCATGTAGTAAGCTTATTGATAGTAGGATTGAGTCTTAAAATCCAATAATTTTCTCTTGCTTTCACAATAAAAACATTGGTCTAAAAACATTGATTAGATGATATTGTAATTCTAAAAGACGAGAATGGACTTTTCAAGTGATTTTAAGGTTGGAAGTTTTGTCACTGACCGGAAACATTACCAGAAGGCAGTGGGAAAACGTTGTGACTTGGCATGTTATCGTCATCGAACGAAGGTCACTCAGAATTTGTTGGATTGCACGGAAAAGAGTCAACTATCGCCCCTTCCAAACAACATGTTACATAATCTTCCGAGCAAGGCATGACAAATGAAATTGAAATTTATGCACCTACCTGAAACATGTTCCCCAATCCTTAAAACAATGTACACATGTTAAACCTGAAGCCTGAATAACGGCCAACCGAGGAGATAACTCTGAAGACATCTCGGAGACGGTGCCACCAGATTTGGAGAACGAACGGGTTTTGAAGTCGTGATATCGTCGACTACGAACCGACTGTTGTGACACACAGCGGGTCAATGGGCAGCGTCTTTGCAATATCCATTGCAAGCAGTGAGTTTACGAAACTTAAGCCTTCGCTAGAATCGAACACGATACTTTCCCAGCAGTTCAGACTTGACGATTGTAGAAGAAGTAATTCGAAGTTTAGTGTATCTTGCAGTAATTATGACAAGAGCATTTGAATTCTTTGATACTTCTCCGACATTATCGAAGACAGTTTCAATTTGTATCACTCCAAATTCTCAATTAAGAAGTAAAGCTAGCCGAGTTGAATTGGTGAACTGGTGAATCATTTCAAGCTAGCTTCTGTTGACATACGAAATGATGTTTAGGTACAGCTGTTACTTAGCGTGCCCTTAGTTACTGCCTCCATATTTGGTATTGTGTACATAAATTTGTAACAACAAATTTCCGGAAATAAGCTTCGTTCCGCGAAAGATAAGGCACATAGGATGTTATTACGGCTTACAAACCTAATGAAACATTTTCAACTGTTTACGCTATCAGGCCAAAACTATTTCCAATACCTGAAACGTATCAAAATTTTCTAGAGAGAATGATCATCCTAGATAAAAGAAACTTGAAGTTTCATTTTCAATTTTAGTAGTCGTTAGGTACTTTAAGAAAAATTTACGACGGCGACGGCAACGATAACCGACTTAGCAAAACAAAAGATTTAGATATAACACATGTAAAATTGATTACTGGTTCTTATAGAATAGAAAATTTCGACTAAACTAATGCTCCTTAAATTCAGACTGATATCTATAAGAAACGTTATACCAACTTTGAGTGATTGAACATATATTGTTTCACTTATGCCGCCGGAGCAGAGCAGAGACGGTCAGTTGTAACTCGAGTTTTCACGCATTAAGCGACCATAAGAATGTAATTTTCTCCACACGGGTAGAATTTAACATCAAAGTTTCAATTAAAAAAAACTCCCAAATAAGTTGGAATTATATTGCGCTGGTCGTTAAACCGGCGATAAGTCGAGAAAATGTACAGTTTAAATCATCGTGTTTGTTTCCTTGTGGGTTTCTCAGTTATGGTGAGGCAAAAATTAAAATAAAGAGTGATATTTCCAGTTTTATCATCATGGTTTCATTCTCATATATGCCGATTAATGACCATCTGGAGCCAGATTGCTTACAAACGCAAAATAAATCAATGTTCTCAAAGAGTCATAAATGAAGATTCTAAACACTTGTTCCGCCAACCTTGTATTTTAAGAATATAAACAACGAAGTTAATTGTTTCTTAAGCCTTCGATTTTAAGTGTAAATTTGTCCTTAATATTCGGTTTGAGTGTCCCTGTCGGATAAGTAGCAGAGATTAACTGAAAGTAAATTGCCACAACTTTTCCATAGATTTTATCTGAGCTCATCAACGAGAGACAAAGGTTATTTAATATGAAATTCTTAGTCCGTTAGCAGACCCCTTTGATTATCACTAAAGGGCGACAGCGAGACATGACTTCATCTACGAAGGGTTTTCCCCGATTTTCGTTTTATTCTGATTCGATTGGTCAGCTCAATTCGACCGACGCAATTTGAAATAAATAAGCACTAATTTGCATTCTGTTTACTCAAATTTGGTAGGTTCACTCAAGTGAGCAAAGTCAACCAGTGCGAAAGGTAATTGTAAATGACGATTTAAAAGCGAGCCAATTTCGCGCGGCTCAAGCTGAAAGTGAATCGTTTCGTTTGGTCGAGAAAGTCGAAAGGGGAAGGATGAAGAATGATTTTCCAATGGGTAGCAAAGTCATATTGATCTATAATTTGGTCTGATTCAGTTGTCGTGAGGTTAATATTTGTGACAAACTAATTCAATCAGGACGTATTGTGTCCTAATATTTCAATTTTCCACCCATCTTTACAGTACCGACGCAACATTACAGGCAAACATAGCTGAAATGGTCACTAACAGCACATTTAATGATTCGAACTTATCCGTTCTATGGTCAATTTAAGGGGAAAAAAGGTTGATAATTTGAGCTATTTTTTCTCTAAAATTGGTGTAGCCGTCTCGGGTTGGGTTGATCTTCTAGCACAGCCCCAACTTTATTAGAGGATACAGTTCTTGGATAAAGAAAACAATGGCCAAAATAATAGATTGCCTTTGGAACTACGGCTTTGTTTTAGAATCGTACGGGGCTGTGCGGAAATCTTTCCGATCTACCTTAGGACTATACTTGAACGTGCCGTTAGAAAGAGGATACGGCCCCTGGGTTTTTAACATCGTCGTCCTTTTAATTTTTGCTCAACTAAAGCAGAGCCTTTAGTTATATTATGCTGCAAAAATTAGCCTCAATCCTTCCTGAAAAAAAAGCTTTTCAAAAACTGTTTTTTCAAGACTAAACTTCGCGTGTTAATATTAACAGTCAAGTCGAATGGATTCACGTAAGTCCCAGAGTGTCTTTCGTGAAAGCTTTCCGAAAGCTTCCGAAAAGTCACAATCTCATGTCAGCAGACTTACTTACATTCCTTTAGCCACGGACTTAGAAGGAGATGACATAATTTGTTACTGGCTCAGCCATTGACCCCATCAACGGACATCGCCGAAGCTTGTTTCGAAAAACTACCGACATTGAAAGATAATTTCCGGAGCGAGAGGAATGTTACGGACTTATTTACCTATTTTCATGATTATGAAATAGGGGCTGTAGTCTCTAATATACTCTAGCCGCCAAAAATGTTCTTATCGTACCATGAAAAGTACGCGAATCTTCTTCGTGACATTGTTCGATTCACTTCCTTGTTTGAAATTGTTTCCTACGATTTGCAACAGAAAGTGAAATTTCAATGGACTTTGGAGTCGGACTTTGCATTCTCATGTTGATCAGCGGCTTTCAATGGATGTTGGAGTCGCGATCGGACTTTGCACTCTCATTCTTTTCTATTGTTTAGCTGACCAATCAGGATCAAGGGAGTGAATTTCTTGGGAATATTGGTGTGTTGTGTCTTGTTGCAAACCTTTCGAAAGACTATTTACTGGCAGTCAACTGAAATAATTTGGTGATTTTTTCGAGCTGGTCTGTTAATCCCTGTACCAAGAGACCTTCCATATGAGTAGGGGACCTTGAAGAATGAGGTAAATATCGAAATCCAACGGTCTGCTGGGCCTTATGTCTCTCTTTTATCAGTTTTTTGCTAGAAACAAAGAGAACTGTTAGTCATCCTGTAGCGGAAAGTAATTCCCTCTTTCTGAGAACCAGTTTTAGTCTGTAACAGTTTTCTTTCTCAAGTAGCTCCCTTGATTGGATATTACATCCATTAACCAAAAAGAAGTCGTAAGCGCTTCTTAGCAGACGAAATTTAAATATTACAATGTCTACTTAAGTGTAAACATTGGGCGTTAGCTCTTTATAACTGCAATCGGTAGCAGATTTATGCTTAGTCCGCAATTGCGCACGTCTTGACTTTGACATACTGTATTTCATTGCGCAGTTTTTCAGAAGAGTCTTTGGTAAATGTGAAATTTGATGTTTTATGGATGTCCTATGTTTGAGTATAATTTCCGTCACGCCGTCACGCCTCCGCCATACCTTCAAACACACCTCTTATCGCAAGAAAATAATTGATAATGATATACTGATCTATTCGTCACAATGATCGAGTAATGTATGGGTGGGGGAGTCCCCGCAAACTATAAAATACTGATTGTCATCTCTAGACGCTACTGCCAAGAGAAAAATGTATGATATCAGTGGTTAGCGCGAGAAGGCTCGGCTATAATTCCAACGCACCTATGTTTACAAAGATTCGGTAAGCGAAGAATGAATTGAAATAGGTTTATGTTTTAAGTACATTATGCATCCTTCGTTGAAAGAGGGAATTGTTATTATCAGACCATATTAAGGCATAAAGCAGTTCAACCAACTGATCCAGTTCCCAGTTCTCCTAAAGGCTTCATAATAGCTAAATCAATTTATCGGATAACGGCAATTTCATGGAGTTGAAATATTTTATTTAATTTTTTCTGAGTACGTTAAAGCAACAGCAGGTTACAGCGGTATTTGACAGAAGAAGTTAGTACTCATGTCGACCAGCACTGCTGTAGAAACACTAGAATCAGAAACAAAAATATGCTACAGATGACTATCGACGAGTTTGCGCATTTCAGCTGGCGGGCTTTTATGCATCACAGTGATGCTCAATACTGAGGCGTCCCTTTCGTAAAAACATTTAAAGTACGTACGGTGGCACCAGTTTTAGAATTTTCCATTAACCTATTGCAGTACTGAAGCCTTCTATCGTACATGAAAAGTTTCATTGAAAATGATTTCATTCTTCAATTTTAGAGACCAGGCGTAGAATATAAACTCATGAGTCAGAACTGTAGCACATATTATTCGGTGAACTGAAAATGTGATCGTACCATAGGCTGAAAATTGATGAGAGTCAATCAAGGACAGAAAACAGTTAAAAACAAAGTGTGCGTGGGCCATTAACGCTCATGGTATCAGAAAGTGAAAGATTTCCGGTTTTACGGAGTTTGCGATAGCGGGCGTGTAGATAGAAGACTCGCAATGTAGACATCGCATTAGTTAACACCACTCTCCCGGAGGTGTGGACAAGTCACACCGCAAAAGTCATTCGAATGGACACTTGAATCAAATTTTGTC